TTATTTATGTTTAATTTGTGCACAATTTGTTGCACATAGGTTACCATATAGAAAATACTGCAAAATTTCAACACTAGCAGAAGTGCAGAAGAAATCTGGAATGATTTCAAACAAAAAATTAAAGACACTATGGTTGACATCCTCAGCAAGAAAGGGAGACAAATAAACAAGCCTTGGGTCATAAAGGAGATAGTAAAAAGTTGATATAAAAAGTGAAAGATGATATAAAAATGCTAATAGCATGGTAGAAAAAGAAAAATATAGAATCATTAATAAACAAATAAGAATAATGTGCAAAGAGGAAAAGGAATAAGATAGGGATGTTATTTGTTCTCAATTCTTTTTAACATCTACAGTGAATATATGATGAAAGAAGCATTCAAAATCTAGCCAAAAGTGTAAAAATTAATGAACATCTTATCAATAACACTAGATATTCTGATGACATTGCTAGTGTTATGTAACACCAAAATAGGGCTACAGAATTCTAAATAGATTGAAAGAAGTGGGAAAAGCAAGATACCAAATGAAAATAAACATAAACAAAATAAAAGTTATGATAATCTGAAAACAAAGAGCTACAGATTATGTTGGATAGAATGAAAATAGAAAAGGCGAAAATGTTTTGAGTATGTAGAAAGTTGGATAACAGATATAATTATGAAATTAAAAATAGAATATAAAAAAGTTAAAGCAGCTTTTCCACAAATATCCTCAGTATTAAGAGATAGAAATGTATGCAAAAAATTGAAACTAATAGTACTTAAAACAATGATTTGGAATAAGACTAACAGCACAAAACCTTTCTCACTAATTTCTAGCCTTATTAACTGGAGTACAAACGTTTTCGGCCTTCTTAATAGGCCTTCCTCGGGTACACTGTGGAGCGTCGGTTAGAAGAAGTTTAAATGCTGCCAATGTTTACCCAGGTGTCGTCTTACCCGTGACGTCTTCGTCGATGATAGGTATACGACACCAGGGAGAAAAACTACATACTTTTGGTAAAGAAGGGAGGTGTGCAGATAGGATACTTGCTAAAGTTGGGGAAAAAAGATTT